TTTTTTTTTTTTTTTTATTTTTTTTTTTTTTTTTTTTTTTTTTACAACGCTTATTACATTAACTTTTTTAGAAAACTAGTTGGTAAACGTCTTGTACAAAGATTCTTTATTAATATTAACATTGTTAGGGTTTTTACTCGTAAACTCGCATTAATGGTTAATATTATACAGTGAGACTTGATGAACCGAATGTAGATGAAGCGAAAAATTACGTGCAAGAGATACACTGAAGTTTGCGGCAATGGAATGATTTAGTTTAATCTTCAAGTTATAATTATTTAGAAATGATTTTCAATTCTCAGCTGAAAGATTTAAAAAACTTTCATACATGCGATGGTTTGATTACAATTTACTTTTGTATCGTTATTTGTACATAAAACTAAGTATCTTAAAGGCTTCCATTAATTTCGATTGTGATAAATCTACACGTATATTTTTAATAAGATGTAGATTAATTAAATATTTAAGTACTTGTTATGTTTTTTAATAATTTAAGAAATTAAGTAAAAATTTATAGTACAATCAGCAGTCTTCCTTAGAATTTAAATGTTTTTTTATGTACAAATTTAGATCGTATTTTACTCCTAATCTTGTCAATTCAAAAGGAAATATCAAAAATTCCTGAAAATAGTTATTTATCACCAGTTTTTTCTTCAAGCGATCATAGGTGTAGCGTAAATTTTTTTTCCGTATCCACAAAGTAATATTTAAATACATACATGTGTAAGTTTAACGTAAAAATTAAATTAAATTAAATTTACGAATTTTAACTTATGATTTAATTAAAAAAGAAATACAACAAAATTTGAACATAAACCTTTTATAATAATTTATTTAATACAAAATGTTATTTTAAAGGATTAGTATACATTGACTCTATAATGGTGATGAATTATTTTAACTGTCATCCTTCTGTTGATACGGAAATATGAAGTGTCTTGTTGTACATATAAATTGTTCAATTTACCGCCATTTTACTTTCATTTTGCGAAAAGATTATATCATAATTTGTAACTTACAATGTAATATATAAATCTCAGTCCAAGTTCTTAATGCTCAATGTAAACATTGTAAATAATTGTAAAGTTTAATTGATTCGAATGTCACGTAAACATTAATCGATTTGTAAAATATTGTTCTTGCAGATTAAATATTTGTAATTATAATTATTAAGTTTGTACACGAATGTATTTCTAACAGTTTATATTTTTGTGAGATATTTTGTAATTTTGCAATCCAGATGATACATATTATTAGAAATCTTAAAAATGTTTTATGCGTATGTAAAAAAATAATTAAATTCATTCCACAATTAATATCACTATTTTTTACTTGCATATCCTCCCCATTTAATTTTTTTTTCTGTAATTTTGAATTCGTTTATCTATACGTAAAGAAAGATTGAACTGAACGGAGTGTCCTTGAAATATTTGCAGTGCAAAAAAGTCAACCATTATTGTTTTTACACTATTTAATTGATTTTTAATCTATTTTACTTCTGATGGAAAAATGATTAAAAATTATTTCACTAGAAAATAATTTATTATTATTTACTTGTCTTTCTCTAGAATGCAATTAATATTCATTTTTTTCTTTTTTCTACATTTCGTAGCGAAAATACAATAGATGAAAAAATGTTATTGTAAGTGAAACGAATCATATATTAATAAAATTCGCTTCAAATCAGAGAGTTACGTAAACAAAATAAACTTACCTAAAAGTATCTTCATTATCCTCAAAATTCTCTCTGATGTACATCGACCAAAACAGTCGGGGCATCGTAAAAACCAAAGGTGTTAGAAAAAATATTTCATAAAACAATATGAAAAATTTACAGTTAAAACAAAAAATTATTCAATGTAGTAAAATATTTCTTTTAATCAATCTAAATTTTGTGATTTAAAAGAAAATCCTTAATGAAATCAAATGAAAGAATTGTTCTTTTACTTGAAGAATTGGGTCGCACAGCGATAAAAACTGCAATACTGTATGATACAAGCCCAACATTTTGAGGAAAAATATATTTCCTCTAATAATAAAAATTTTTTTAATTTATTTCAACTCAAAAATATTATTATAACTTACAAGTTTACATACAACATTAAAATTAATTCCATATTAAATGTAAGCATCATGCAGTACATACATCATAACATTACATTATTAAAACAGAACATCACAAAGTTAATCGATTTAACATACAAACGTTTGATATTTATGAATTGCGTAAAACTAATCATGAAATCGGTTATCGAAACAAATATAATAACAATAAAACTGTTTACCAAAGACTTTCGTCTGAATGAATTACATTTTTTTGAGCATCCGAAGATTGATTGTTGCAGGCATTTCAACTTCATCAAAATGAACTTCGGAATGTCGAAACATAAATTTCACCGGCCGGTTCGCATCATTCGCGGGCATCTGAAAATATTAAAAAAACACACACACACCTAATCTCAAAGTATCATGTGAAAAAAAAAAAAAAAAAAAAAACAGAGCTACGAACAAACAATCCTACATACCGTATTGTCGGGCGTTTCGCGCAATTTGGATGCAAAGTAAGCCTTGACCCCCTCGATCGTCCTTACCGACACCGGCTCCTCGTGCTGGGCCGGCTTGTAATGAATCATGATGTACGTGATCTGATCGCAGCTCAACTCGCTGTAATCCGCGCAAATGACCTCCACCTCGGACGTGTCCACGGGCAATCGCTGTAGCAGCCGGACTGTCCGAACGATCGGTAAGAGACCGTCGATCGCCATCGACACGTCGCAGTCGCAGGCCCACGCCTCGAGGCTCCGAATGTTACACCTGCCGGCAGTTTTCGACCACATTCAAAATACAATTGTATACGTTGCACCCACGATGGCAGTAAGGCACAAAATTGGATATACCTACCTAATGATGGTGCCGTGGAGAGTGTCAAACAGCTCGGTCCTCATCATGAAGCTGCTCAGAGCCTGGTAGCTGAACGAGGCAAAGAGCCGCTCGAAAATCTGGATGACCAGTCTGCGCTCGGCTCCGTACTTCTGGAACGTCCGGTGAAACCCGTCGAGCTTTTCAACCAGCAGTCGCAGGTGCTCGTTCTGCCCCAAAAGGCCGTCCTTCGATCTTTGGACATCCAGTAGGGCCGGCACGACCAGATCGAGCGTGTTCTTCCTCATGTGCTCGAGGGCCACACCGGCCATCCACTGGCCGACGTCCTCGATCGCCCCGCGTTCGGCGGTCAGCTCGAGGCTGCACAGAGAGTGGCCCTCTTGGCGGCTCGTATTTTCCATGTGGTACACTAATGGATCCTCGCTGAGTGGGCTCTCCACGTGGCACAGCAGTGACTCGTCCAAGTCCAGGTAGCTTATCCTCGAGTATTGTTTCGTGAAGTTGAGCAGTCGGTGGCTCTGAACCAGCCAGTGGACCGCTGGCTCGAAGGAGCCCTGCGCCTTCACTGCCAGTTTCGCCCTCTTGGCGTAGGCCTCCACCAGCGAGTTGGCCGCCCGGTCGTCGTCCATCGCGTCCAGGTAGCGGATGCACATGAAAACGGCTCGCGCCGGTAGGTCCCGCGCCTCTTCCTCCAGTTCCGAGTAGTTGACCTCTGAAGGACGGGGAATAAAAAACATCAGATGTACCTACCATCGAGAAGATGAGGGAATTTTTGGGTTTTACCGGCCACCAGGTGTTGTACCAAGTCGTCGACATCCGTCACGTTGAATTCGAACATGCCCTTGTGGTCGTGGTGGTGGTTGGCCGATTGGTTCACGTCGCACGTCTGGTTAGGTGCGATGGTAGTGACTATCGCTGCGAACCAAAAACAACAACGGTGACAAACGCTCAAGGTGAGCCGGCTTATCTACTGGTCGTAGTGACACTTACTGTCGGCGTCGCTTTCGGAATCCGACGAGGTGTCGAGGTGGACTCTCTCGCGGTCCCTCAGGGCTCTGACGTCCTCGATCTCAACGTGCGTGACGCCAAAGTCTTTTATGAATTTGTTGGCGGTGTCGTCGAATTTTCGAAAGGCTGCCCAAAGGTTTTCGCATTTACCGATGCACTTTTGGGAATAAATGTTCCCGACCATCGAAACGCCGTTGCTATTCTCAGATACGTTTATCCGAGGATCTTTTGCTGTGGCCTAGAAATATTTGTCGTTTTAGTGTAAGAAAATGTTCAACATCTGTTTGAGCTATGTTTTTTTTTTTTTTTTTTTTTTTTTTTTTTTTTTTTTTTTTTTTTTTNTTTTTTTTTTTTTTTTTTTTTTTTTTTCAAATGTAGCGGTTTCAGGCAGCGATTTATTTTTTATTGTAATTTCAATCGTTGTGATTGAGCAAACGGACAAAAATGTAATTTTGTACTTGTGTTTTTCAACGCAACGTAGGTGTTAATGTGGTTTTAATCACTTTTTGTATTTTTCCACCCGTTTTCTCGCCGTAGCCGATGATACGAAGCTTATCTTTAGCTCTTTTGCGATTATCAGCTGCTTTTGTTTTCTGACGCTTGAGATAGTTGCTGTAAGTGTGATAAGTTTCGCTCGAAAAGCAATGTCTTGTTCACCATGTCAATCGGTTACTATTATTTTTACCGTAAATATTTTTTATAAACGTAGAACGTTATTGTGCTGCAGGTGTTTGATCGTAAACGTAAAAATGTCGAAATTTTTTACATTTGTCCAGGCCTTCACGATGATTCATAACTGTAAAAATGCTTTTACGCTAAGTCATAATTATTATAATATAACGATCCTTGTGCGCATTGAGACTGCGTTATCACATTTAAGAACGTCCATATAATAGATAACACATTCTTTGTGACGTTTTCCTTGGTAGGTATTATTGTAATGTGATTTTCGTAAACACCTACGTACCGGTATAATCTAAATCGGTACGAAAAACAATTTCAAAATTCCTTTTTACATTTCACGCAATTAGTCGCACAATTTACCGTTATTTCGAGGAAAATAAAAATACATATACAATATCCTTTGCCACTTGAAAAATTGCAAGTGAGTAAATAAAAATGCACATCCATACCTTCGGGCTCTTTAACGTTCCGTAGTTCCTCACTTCCTTACCGATCCGATTGTCCTCAAAGTACTGCAGCTTGACAGCCTTGAAAAAACTCACCTGCGAACCCAATCTACGTTCACTCACACGACCCTCAAATAAAATTGACATCAGGAGCACGCACTAACCGAAAGATCAAGAGTCACGAAGTCAAGGTGTTCCCACCTCTCGCAAGCCAACCGGGTGAGAAAGCCGCGCACGTGCCGCTGCAGGACCACCACGGCCCAGCGCATCCTTGCGTACCGCTTGGACTGCAAACGACAGCGCACCGTCTTTTGGATCGTCACGATCGCCTTGGACAGCCGCTCGCGCCGGCGCTCCTCCAGCCGTGACACCGTCTCCTCCTTGAGGAGTACATCACCGCTGCCCAGAACGTACTGATTTTTCTTCTTCTGTCAACGGACACGGAGGGACGTGAAAAACCAGCAACTTGGCGAGTCGAAGCGTAATAAATAAATGCTCACCCTGACGTGGTCGGCCAAGATTCTTTCGCAAGCCTTTTGCACGTCGCACCGGCCCAAAAGTTCGTAAGGGCAGAGCGAGTGGTAGCGCTCGAGGAAGCGCTCGTACCGCATGTGGCTGGGATAACCGCCGACCGACATGACGAGGGTGTCCCTGATCCCGTAAGCCTCCACCTGCCGAGCCACCCGCCTCGGATCGAAGCTAAGTCCCTCGTTGGTGTCGTTCGTCTTGATGCACCGCACGTAGTAGGGACTCGTTTTGTCCAGCTTCGACGTCAACGCCGACAACGAGCTTCGAAACTCGGCCATCACCTGTAGGATACACAAAACAAAAGGCCCGTTGCACTTCACCGCATCGTATAACACGAGTCACTCTCGTTCTCGGCTTTACCGTTTTGTTGTCGTCGTTTGGGTTATCCTTGATCGCCAAGAGCCGTTTTCCCGTGTACCGTATCCTGTACCTCGTGGCCGTTGCCGGCTCCGACACTTCCCGCCGAACGATGTCGCCGAACACGCTGTTCTAAAAACAACAGTGCCAGATGGATAAACGAGGGAAGGAACGAGGGAGAGGCTGCGCACTCTTAAAGTCATTTCATCAAAAAAGAAGAACTTTATGAGCCATATTCCAAGTCTTTCGTTGTTCAAAAGACTTGAGAGTGTGCAGGCCCTCGGGAACGAGCAATGGCTCAATAACTCACCCTGCTCTCCTGGAGTATCTCGAGCAGTTGTTTAACGCCGGCGTGGGAGTTCTTGTCGACGAAGCCGCTCGCGTCGTAGCGCACCTCGCCGAGAAAGTGGACGACCACGAAGCCGGACGTGTCCCGTCCTATCCTCCGGAAGTTCTTCCGCGTCCTGAACCTGCCCTCCAAGCTCTGCACCAGCGACGCGCTCTCGTCTTCTTCGTTCTGCAACTGCAAAGTGCCATTGTATACCGTTGAAAAATGAATCACCAATGGGACAAACGTACTTTTTTGGTGGTCCTGTGGTCGACGAGGTCGAGGATACCGTTCATCAGCCCGGCGGAGCAGCCAACGGCGTCCACGCGTTCCTCCTCGGTCGACTCGGTTCGTAGCTGCTTGGCCAGTTGGGCGCGGACAAACGACTCGAGCATCTCGTTGGCGTAGTTGATCCAAAACTGTTCCAGGGAGTTGTTGGGCTCGAGGCTCTCGAAGCCGTACAGGTCGAGCAAGCCGATGGAGGCGTGGGCCTCGCCACCGTTGGAACGCGTGGACTCGTTGATCCGCGAGACGAGCCACTTGAAGAGCAGGAGGTAGACGTGCCGGGCCAGGGCGTCCCGTACCTTTTCCGCCTCGTCGACGCTCCGCGGCACCGTGATCGCGCTCTCGTCGAACGACATACGCTTGTGGCAGAGTCCCTTGCGCAACGAGGCCAGCAGGGTCACGTCCACCTTGAGCAGGTCCAGCACCGTCGCCAGGCACGGCATGTTCTGCAAAAATACCTCATTCGGTCTCAACGCGGATGTATTATAAATACGGTGGGTGTTCGCTTACAAGAATGTAGCAGCTCCTTCCCTGGGCCTGTTTGAAGTCGAGGTTGCCCAAGTGCAGGATGGCCGACAGTACGTTGAACAGGTCGGTTTGCTGGGTTGGGGAGAAGCCGAGGACGAGCATCGCCTCGACGGTCTCGGCAAAAGAGAACAGCATGCCCACGCTGTCCGTGCCACGGGCTTGCACCAGGTACTTGAACTTCTGGCCTTGGTTGATCCTCAACTCGGGGTCGTTCACGCAGTACAGTTGGTGAAATATGCCAAAGTTCTGTTGGTTCGGCGTCTTTTGGCACAAAAAAAAAAAAAAAACAACCATACCCGTATCTCATCTTTCAAAACGAGCGTTAATGGAAAACATGTACATGTATTGTAATACCTGGCTAACGAGCCTCGAGGTGTCCAGGAGGTAGGTTTGAAGGACGGCCCCGACCAGGCGTTGTTTCCAGTCGTACTGCAACTGCAGGTATTTCCCGAATCTGGAGGAGTTGCTGGAGTTGGCGGTGGCCACGTTGCCAAATGCCTCCAGAAGCACGGATGACGAGAATATTTTTACCTCGACGGCCTTATCCCTCGGGTGGCTGGTGAGAAGGTAATAAACGGCGTGCTTGGCGTTCTCCGTTTTTCCGGAGCCGCTCTCGCCGGTGAACACTATCGACTGATCGCTCTGGTCTCTAAAAAGGAAATTTTTTTTTTCCATCTTCACTATATTATACGGTAGTAGTTTAGCTCGAACTTTTTGAAAAATCGTATAGTAATCGCGAAGAATATTTACTGCACAGGATGTGGGCAGTGTCAAAGAGATACAATTTGCCAAGAACAAACAACAACTGATGGTCATATCCCGAGTGAAAAACATCGTGATCGGGAATAACTGATTGTGTAGGAAAATTAACCAATTGTTACTAATGATAGATGTTATCGTTTTATTTCATCCTGAATCATACCCTTAGATAGTGAAAAAAAGAACACAACTGATAACTGTTGTTCATTTAAATTAATCGAAACTTATTAATAATTATTATTCGTTATGGACTTAAATGGCTTGTGATGGTAATTTTCGTAAATTATAAACGATTGCTCGTAAAATTTGCTTGTAGTTATTCACACCGCGTTGTTTTTTGATATTTATGTATCAGAAATGAAAAAAAAAAAAAGCTCCACCTCTCGAGCCTCGCGTAAGTTTTCTCGGCCACGGAAAATATGTGCGGCTCCGATGGGGCGTGGGTCGATCGGCGGCACTTGGCGAGCTTGGAGTTGCCATAGACCTCGGGCACCTTGACGCAGGGGTTGAGAAAAATCGTTAGCACGGCGTCACAGTCGGTGTAAAAAGCTCGCCTATCGAAGCGCGCGGCCAACACGTGCAGCAACGACGCCTCGTGGGGCAGGTTGAGCATGTTGAGGTTGTCGATCATGTGGGCGTATTGCTCGTCGAACGAGTTGCGCAGGAGGGGCAACTCGTCCGCGGAACGGACGACCAGTCGACTTTGTTCCCTCGAATCTTCCGCAGTGGTGACTATACTCAGCGGGTACGGGCTACCCAAGTCGATGGCCTCCGTACTCACCACCGTTGCCTTCTGCCACACTTTTTCCGGGTGCTTCGTCCATACCTTCGCTCCCTACAATGTTACAATTGACAAATTTATATTTCTTGCCTGCTTTTTCGATTCTTTTCCTTATCAATGGCGCGTCGATCGTTAAAGATCGGTAATTGAACCAAACAGATTGTTTTCGGTGTTGCTGTCCGGTTCATTTACGTACCACGCCGAAGTGTATAACAATGACAAAACTATCTATTAAGTAGTACGCACACAAAACAAGACAACTATGTAAACACGAGAGCGTGACTTTTGTACGAACAAGGTAAGGTTAAACATCATTTATCAATGGAAATCGTCAATACCGATATGTGTGTATAATATATTATACATTTATACGTAACGGTGAAAATACAACAAAGTTGCCATTTCACGCCAAATTGAAATTACCTTTTTGTAATCCTCCTCTATTGGCATGCCACACGACGTTAATAAGAACTCACGCAAAGACAATTGTTTTTTTTTTTCCAATTCACTTGACACGCACTTTTGGCTCTACACTGAAAATTCGTTACGCGAGTTATCGGTGGATCGAGTTTTCCGTAAATTCGCGAGAATACCTATTGTACGAGACGTAATGACAATCAGTTGTACCAACCGTCGAGCCACCTTTTTTGCGGGTACCAATAAGTATATATGGATCACGTTGAATCGTACCTTTGCTTTTGTTCGATCATGAAAACGAGTTAACAATATAATTTGCAAACAAATGATAACTTGTACTAAGCTTATTTCGAACGTTTGTTGAGAACACGATTAAACGCGCGAATAGCCTTTTAGTTCTTGATGATACCGAGTGTTTTCAGACACCTGCGTGAGCACACACGACAACAACGTATCGTTCACTAATGAGAAACACATTAGGCTCCAAGTGATTGTGTGAAATTTCGAAATGCGGCCGAATTCGTAAACACAATGGGAAGAGAAACCATTTACATAGTGTCATTTGATTGGTGTACTGGACAACAAATTGACGTTACGAGAAAAAAGCATTTTTTTTTTTTTAATTTTAAATGTATACGTACTTCGAAGAATTACTTTTTTTTTTCTTTCTTAAATTACATGCAAGAAAAAACTTTTTTTTTTTTTTTTTTTTTTTTTTCCCCTCAACCCGGAGTCCTTACTCGGCCCTTTCGTGAGTCGTCTCTCTTCCTCCCCGTACGCGACGCGCCACTCACCGTTAATAGAATACCCGAGAAGGCTTATAGCTCCTCGCGTGCTGCTTGACTGTTTTTCTTCCCCGCCTTTGTGTGCCACAAGCAACGATCAGCCGAAGAGGCAACGTACGGCCAATGGGTTTCGTTAACTAGAGAGAGAAAGAGCAATGAATTCCTCGCGAGGGTATACACGTGTCTCTATTTTGTCGAACCAGTCGTTAAACGTTACGGCGAAAAAATAAGCAACGTGAGGGATACGGCCAATCAAATCGACCCAAATTTCGCATGTAGGAGCATCGTGTACACGAACAAGTCGGCGAACGCGTGATGAACGGAAGACACGCGCCGGGGAAAGGGCTGTACGAGTGTGTGTAGAAATGCGAGGAATATAATGAAAAACACGTCACTGAGTGAAAAGGGCGGCGCAAAGTGATGTGACAACTCGTCGTCATTACCTTTAACGAGGTATTATTACCTGCCTGAAAATGGCGTGAGTGTGGCAAACTTGGGCCCGACTTTTGGTTGAGAAACGTTGGCCAAGGTTTGGCAATAATATGCCACACTTTCGATTTTATGTCTGGTAAAGTTGGGCAAACGTTTGGCAATACTTGCAAAAGTATATAGTATCTCAGTCTCCCAAAAANTTTTTTTTTTTTTTTTTTTTTTTTTTTTTTTTTTTTTTTTTTTTTTTTTTTTTTTTTATATACTTAGCGAGTGAAAAATATGATTAGTCGATGGATTCGTTGAGCGAATATTATGATGAGGTAATAATTGAATACTTCTTTTCCCGAGTAGCTGATCATGGCGACGGTGCCGGTGACGATAAAGTACATGCATTTTCCCGTCGAATCGCATTTATAAATAACGTCGTCTTGAAGGAAAATCACTTGTTTCAATGCACCTGCAATAATATTTCAAACGGTGTAACATTTCACACACGTATGTATATTCCTACGAAATCGTATATGTACCGATTATGTTGGTCAAAGTAGTGCGTGAAATATTGGTGAACAGGGGAGTCGACTCCAGCAGGATTCTACTGCTTTGCTGAGTGATTTGGTTTTTCAAATGCTCTAGAAATTGACAAAAAGAAAAAAAAGGAAAAAAAAGTTTACGGAACGGAAAAAAAAAACAATACATGCAACCGTATACTAACTGCACAAGGTGGAGGTTATAGCTTTTTCTTTGAACAAACTGCCCTGGAATCGGTGCTCGTAAAAATGCAACAGTCTTTCCTTCAATTTCGTTGGCAATTTTTTATTGCGAATGTAATCCTTGACCCCGTGCATTATCGACTGGTACTTGAGTTCGGGCTCGGCGGACGAGCTCACCAGTTGCAACACGATAACTAAAAGCCCAATGTTGCATTGGAATCGGTTTGATAATTTTTTTTTTTTTTTTTCCTTCGAGATTATTATTGTTGTGTACCTGTGACGTAGAGAAAGTACGACATGCCGAGCAAAAGTAAAACGCATCGCGTCAACTTGTCGGGAAAATCGGCATCTTTGAACTCTGTGTAGTTGTAGCTGCAAAGGTTGCCACCGCCCATGTGCAAGCACGTCAGGTAGATGTACCACGTGGGCTCTTCGTAAAGCTTCGTTTTGAACAAAAAACCTTCCGAATTCTGTAATATTATTTTTTGTTCAACAATAAATATACATTTGGTAGGTAACATAGAAGGAGTAATATTTATGACTGTAAAAACAAAAAATCAGATTTTTGTTTTTTTTTCCATTCAACATTTCAAATGATTATTAAATTTTAAAAATACAACTACTACATTTTCTGCTCTATTTTTTGTCGTAAGATCACTTTGCTTGGAAAAAAAAAAAACCCTATATATCATTAAAAAAAAACGTAACGCTATGTACCTCTTTGGGCGTCATCATGAGATAGGCGTAAAAAATGGGCACGGCGTAGGTGAAGCACGCAGCCAAGTGAAAAATCAAAATCGTCATTATGAGTATCCACAGGCTCTGCTGGTAAACCCGGGACGCGCCGCACACCTGTAACCCATCGCCAAAACGTTAAGTTTTCTTTTTTTTTTTTCCTTCTTTTCTCCATATAAATCGTAATTCAACCGGTACCACGACTATTTGTTTGACGTAGCGCCTGAGAGTGGGCAGCCGGAAAAACTTGAGCAACGGCAGGACTTCGAGGACCAAGAAGTACAGGTTTACGTCGGGGCCCGGCTCTTCGGGCCGGCCCTGGGAAAACCACGTGTACGGGATCGAAGACAGCAGATCTATGATGAAGAGCCGTCGCATGTAATGCCTGAAATTCGGCGATCGAACCTACATCATGCGTGGGTTTGGATTACGTCACCTTTCAGGCTTGGGCGCGATCATCTTGTGGAACAAATTAACTATTTTGCTGAGATTATTTTACTACATTCACGCCGTACAATATTAAAGAAAAAAAAAAAAAACAAATTTCTGATCAATAAATTTGAAGTATGAAATTTCATTGTTAAGTATTTGAAATCGAATATTTAATCACTTTAACTTTTTTTTTTNTGTCCCGTTTATAGAGCATTGTTTTTGCTGGAAAAATTATTATAAAAATTACAAAAAAAAAACAATGCATTACATTTTTAGCGAAAAATTACATTTCATAAAAATTAAAAAAAAAATTATCCATGCCCAAGTTCGAGCGTTTTTCACACTGAGAATAGACCAACGGTAGTTGGGAAAATTTTGCGGTTAAATGACGGTAAAAAATAAAAAAAAATTGCAGTAATTGTTTAACGGCTCGTACAGGGCGTGCATGGAAAATAGACTGACCGCAGTATTCGGACGGGATCGATGAATATCTCGTGACCGTCCTCGGATATGTATCCGGTGATGCAGTTCATGAAAACGTCGGCCAAGCAAATAATGTAGCCTGACATTGATAGTTTCGCTGCCGTTTCGCTTGCGGAACTGAGCCCTTTGTTTGGTAATCGGTAGAAATTCCTCGTAAACGGGATCACCGTGAACATGTACAGGTATGTAAACGTCATCACGACGTCCCAGAAAAATCTGCAAACGAAAGTTTTTTTTTTTTTTTAATATTTATTCCCTTAGCCGTATACAATAATCATCCGAAGATCACAATTTTGATATAGTTATAAGGGTGCACTTTCAAAATACGATTCTTCGGATGACTTGAGTCGCTTCCAAGTGATGAATGTGGAAAAACTGTATCTTTGTGGGAAAAAAATCTCGTGCTTCTCACATGCACTCACATCAAAAGAAGGCGTGACACTTACATCATTGGTTGTATTTGGAAGAAAAAAAGAAAAAATGATGCTGAAAAACGACCTGAATTTGCTGCAGGGATGGGCGACCCACCAGTGAGCCGATATGCCGTGCCGGCGTTTCTCGAACGCGAGGGCTGCTTTGCTGCGCAGGTAGATCCGAGCCTGGGGATGGTCGTTCCAGACGATCAGGACCTTTTGGAGTCGGCGCTTGAAGCGCGCCCGGTAAGCGGCGTTCGGTGGCAACCGAGGAAGTTGGCTCTCCGACCCATGGATCAGCTCGCACAAGTGCCGGTCCGACTTGCGGTGCCAGCCGGGCCTCGCAGTAGACAACAATCTCATGTCTGATCCTGTGTTTATTGTGTAAGAGAAATTTTTTTTTTTTTTTTTTTTTTTCTTGCACGTTGGAAAAATAATAATACAAATAACACCTAAGGTTACTTTGAAATTGTTATTGTTATTTATTTTTTTTTTTTTCTATTGGCTCAGTTGAGAAACGAGTAGTAAGAGTCAGCGTCAAGGCGGACACGAAAATGTTTCGTGTCTGACTTGTTCGAGGTTATACTACTGGTTTTACTTTTCGTCAAAGTCAAACACATTAGTTTTGCATGGGTTTATTCTGCACCGCCGATATTATCCGTGTATAAATAATTTTTCTAAACTTTTACAATTTTTTTGTCAACTATCAAAATATAACGATATATAACATCTACTATAGCCATTTTTTGTACTCGGGCACCAATTATCGCATGGGTTAAAATTATTTATCATGAGCTAAAATAACTTTTGTTCACATGAAAATGTACTCAATTCACATCATTATAAAACTTTAAAGGTATAAATATCCTGAATAATTCTTATAAATATTGTTTAAACAAATTTTTCTTCGTAACTTATAATAATCATCGCAAGTGTTATGTATCACAACTATATGAACCATGGATACTTTTATCCATTGGAAACTTACCTTATATATCTGGAACAGTTCTTCTATTACAAGTTGCAAGTTGCAAGAATGGTGAAAAATAGTTATTTCATATAACAAAAGGAATAAGTTTAATTGGTTACTAAAACAATATAAACATGTCAGCTCGCATGTCAGTCTAGTTTCAAGTGTTTTTTTTTTTCAAACAGCGCACCAACAATGAGTGTCGCCAACATGACCAACAATACCAGTGCTGCCACATATTTAGAGAAAAATACATGTCACATCTCACATGTGGTTATTTGTTTACATTTGTACAATACACACTGCCGACGCTTCCGACTTTCGGCAGTTCCGACACTACTTATCATAATTTGCGAGAAACACAGATCACGTCTTTTTTTTGCGATCGATGCTTTATACGTGCTCTTCTTATTCAGTGCACTACAACTCACAACATTCGCCACACACGTGCTGATAACCTTATAAGGTACATTATTATACATATAAACGTCTAATAAAAAGTTTTTTTTATAAATCTAATGAGGTAATTATAGGTGTGTATAAGGATACGTGTCTCTTGGCTTATCTGTAGGTATACGTGTCCATAAGGATACGTATGTATAAGTATACGTGTCCCTTGGCTTATCTGTATCTGTAGGTATACGTGGCTATAAGGATACGTACCTGTAAGCTTACGTTCAAATTAAAGCGAATTAAATGTTTTCAATTTTTACGTGTCCGTAAGCTTACGTTCAAATTAAAGCGAATTAGATGTTTTCAGTTTTTACGTACCTGTAAGCTTACGTTCAAATTAAAGCGAATTAGATGTTTTCAGTTTTTACGTGCCCGTAAGCATACGTACCTGTAAGCTTACGTTCAAATTAAAGCGAATTAGATGTTTTTAGTTTTTACGTGCCCGTAAGTATACGTACCTGTAAGCTTACGTTCAAACTAAAGCGAATTAGATGTTTTAGCGAAAAATTACATTTCATAAAAATTAAAAAAAAAATTATCCATGCCCAAGTTCGAGCGTTTTTCACACTGAGAATAGACCAACGGTAGTTGGGAAAATTTTGCGGTTAAATGACGGTAAAAAATAAAAAAAAATTGCAGTAATTGTTTAACGGCTCGTACAGGGCGTGCATGGAAAATAGACTGACCGCAGTATTCGGACGGGATCGATGAATATCTCGTGACCGTCCTCGGATATGTATCCGGTGATGCAGTTCATGAAAACGTCGGCCAAGCAAATAATGTAGCCTGACATTGATAGTTTCGCTGCCGTTTCGCTTGCGGAACTGAGCCCTTTGTTTGGTAATCGGTAGAAATTCCTCGTAAACGGGATCACCGTGAACATGTACAGGTATGTAAACGTCATCACGACGTCCCAGAAAAATCTGCAAACGAAAGTTTTTTTTTTTTTTTAATATTTATTCCCATAGCCGTATACAATAATCATCCGAAGATCACAATTTTGATATAGTTATAAGGGTGCACTTTCAAAATACGATTCTTCGGATGACTTGAGTCGCTTCCAAGTGATGAATGTGGAAAAACTGTATCTTTGTGGGAAAAAAATCTCGTGCTTCTCACATGCACTCACATCAAAAGAAGGCGTGACACTTACATCATTGGTTGTATTTGGAAGAAAAAAAGAAAAAATGATGCTGAAAAACGACCTGAATTTGCTGCAGGGATGGGCGACCCACCAGTGAGCCGATATGCCGTGCCGGCGTTTCTCGAACGCGAGGGCTGCTTTGCTGCGCAGGTAGATCCGAGCCTGGGGATGGTCGTTCCAGACGATCAGGACCTTTTGGAGTCGGCGCTTGAAGCGCGCCCGGTAAGCGGCGTTCGGTGGCAACCGAGGAAGTTGGCTCTCCGACCCATGGATCAGCTCGCACAAGTGCCGGTCCGACTTGCGGTGCCAGCCGGGCCTCGCAGTAGACAACAATCTCATGTCTGATCCTGTGTTTATTGTGTAAGAGAAATTTTTTTTTTTTTTTTTTTT